TGCTTGATAAAAAAAATTACAGGAAAAAATGTAATATTGTGAAATATTATTACGATGTAAAATAACATTTTTCTATTTTAATATACATTAAAATCTAATTTATTAATCTGATGCAAAGCTGAATTTTCAGCATCATTACTCCAGTCTTCAGCGTCACACGATCCTCAAGAAATCATCCTAATATGCTGATTTATTATCAGTGCTGGAAACTGTTGTGCTGCTTAATATTTTTTGGAAACTGCGATACTTTTTTTCAGGATTCTTTGCTGAATAAAAAGTTAAAAAGAAGAGTATTCTATATTGTAATATTATTCTATAATATACACTACCGTTCAAAAGTTTGGGGTCAGTACATTTTTATTCTTTCTTTTTTTTGAAAGAAATTAAAACTTTTATTCAGCAGGGATGTGTTAAATTGTTAAGAAGTGATAGCAAAGATTTATAGTGTTAGAAAATATTTATATTTTGAATAAATGCTGTTCTTTTTAACTTTTTATTCATCAAAGAATCCTGGAAAAAGTATATGTGTGTGTGTGTGTGTGTGTGTGTGTGTGTGTGCATGTATTAGGAATGTGCATCTCATGACTGAGGCCAACGATACGATACATTAAAGGTACATATGAAGCAGCTACCGATGCGATACGATTCACCCCTGTAACGATGCAGTGCAGTTCGCGTCGCTTCGATTCAACACAATGCGATTCGATGCAATGGAAAAAATATGATCACTTCTAATGTCTCGAGGCCTGTTTCATAAAACAAGTTTACCAAATAAACCAACTAACTTATTTCAGTTAGTCTGACTCAGTGTCAAATGATTTGGTTCCATAAAGCAAATTTAACATAGGCCTTGATCAAGCTTAGTCACTGTGGCAACTTATACTGGGAAACTAACCTGGTCTAAAGCAGGCTAACGGTCAGACTCAGCTAAGCTCCTCTACTGACCAATAGGAACGTAATGATATTACCACTCTCTCACATACTATTATTTGACTTATTTTTTACAGTTTCTAGCCATGCAGCCTTTCTCTCTGGTTTTATGACAGCTGTACCTTTTATAGTTTGCAGAACATTAGAACATTACAATCTAAAATGGCTCTTTAAAGCATTAAAATAACTAAATTAAAAGTTAAAATCACTGAATTAAAAATGAAAATAAATAATAAAGAAAATGACTATTTTAACTGGTATAAGAAACACACATTAACTCATTTGAGCTTAGAAATTAGGACTGTATTAGCTTACATTTGATTTACCCATTACAATAGTCCCTTTACAGCTACTGCTTTATTTTAAATTCATAAAATACACTTTATATGTAGGTTCAAAATTCTACAAAAGACATTTAATGTCCAACAACAAATATTTTAGCAAAATGTATATTTTACTCAGAATTATTGTGCTACACTCTAAAAAATGCTGGGTTAAATACAACCCAGTGCTGGGTAAAATAGGGACAAACCCAGCAATTGGGTTGTTTTGACCCAGCGGTTGGGTTAAATGTTTAACCCAACCTTCTGGATAGTAACCCAACCGCTGGGTCAAAACAACCCAATCGCTTTTTTTAGAGTGTACTATTCTATTGCGCTCTGTCTGTTTAGCGCGCTCGTTCACTCCGACTCCTGACAGCAAAATGGATATGTTTGCATGACTTTCTAACATTTACAGATGAAAAATAACAAATTATGAGGAAAACACAACATCTCAAATGCATTAAACAGCACAGATATATTCGCGGTTTGTCATGGCGGATAGATTTGATCCATGATCGACATTAAGAGCTGCTTATAAATAAACGTGCACAAATTAGTGAGATTGTGTGAATTTAATTTGTCGTTTATGGAACCGCTTTAGCCCCGATTGATTTGTTAGGTTATTTCAAGTCAGGTTTTGGACTTTAATCCCAGTTTTTCCTCGGGTCTCCGTAGTGTTGTGATAGCCTACGTTATATTCACGCAGCAGCAGCGGTGAGAGAAGAGAAATCAATCTACATATAAAATATTGGTCACAGATTATTGGTCACTTTCGAAACAAAAAAAGATATAGCGCATCCACTAGTAATTATATATAAATTAATCGGTTTTTAACCAATGCAAATATGTTAGAAACGATGCATCGCGATACAACTTGTATCCGATGCACACTTTTTAAACCAATGCATCGCATTAACTTTTTATGCCGATGCACCGAGCAAATCGGTGAATCTTCCCATCCCTAATGTGTATATCTATATCTGAAGAGTTCAGATGCATAAGCCTCTAAGTGCCATCTGAATTTTTTTTCTAAAATTAGCATTTTTCTCAGGATCCTACACTCTATAAAAAATGCTGGGTTAGATACAACCCAGCGCTGGGTAAAATATGGACAAACCCAGCAATTAGGTTGTTTTCATCCAACAGTCATCCAATTTATGCATCTGAACTCTTCATATATTTATATATATGTGTATGTATATGTATATGTGTAGCTAATTTGATCCACAATGCAAAACACCTGTTAAATTTAGTTAAGTTTTGCACTTAACTACATATATTTATCTATTTCCGATGGAGTGATTGTCATGATATTGTGACTCAGTGGCATTATGGGGAACAGATGCAGAGATTATGTCATGCCAGTGGTTCACGTTGCATTGAAGTCTGTAGCCTATATACAGCATTAATCTGTCAGAGAGCACTGCAGTTCCTCATCATCCACTGAGAGTCTCTGGATTAGTTTAAGAGCATCACAGCTGTCAGGGTATCTGCTGTCAGATCACTGCCTAATATTTGGGGAAAATCAAAACAATTATTGTGAATGTTCAGTTTTGCGCGTCAGCTTTTGCCCATTCGGTTAATGGATGGGTGAACAGATAGAAAGATAGATAGATAAATTGTGTTTCTGTGAATAAAGTTGTTTGTAAAATATTAATGAATTGGCTCTGTGTGTGCCTTTCCCTTTATTAATGTGCAACTCGGTAGTTTATCACTTAATTTACTGAAGGCCACTTCCGTTCAAGTGCCTTTTATAACACAACAGCGCCTCACTCAGGATAAAAAGAGAAATAAACGAAGCATTTTTGATATTTTTGTTCTGAGAAGTTGTCCAAGTCGTAATTTATATTGGAAAAAATTACTGTTTTGGATGGACGAATGTCTAATAATTAATATTATTAATAATAATGTCTAATAACTATTAGCACAACACAATGAAAACAACACAATGTAATTACAACACAACAAAAACAAGGCACAACACAATGAAACAAGCCACAACACAACACAATTAGCACAACACAACAGAAACAAGCCACAATACAAAGAAATTAACACAACACAACAAAAACAAGGCACAACACAACAAACTTAGCACAACACAATGGAAACAAGCCACAACACAACAGAAACAAGCCACAATACAAAGAAATGAACACAACACCACGAAAACAAGTCACAACACAGTTAAATTAGCACAACACAATGGAAACAACCCACAACACAAAGAAATGAACACAACACCACGAAAACAAGTCACAACACAGTTAAATTAGCACAACACAACGGAAACAAGCCACAACAAAATGAAATGAACACAACACCACGAAAACAAGTCACAACACAGTTAAATTAGCACAACACAATGGAAACAACCCACAACACAAAGAACAACGGAAACAAGCCACAACACAACGGAAACAAGCCACAACACAAAGAAACGAACACAACACCACGAAAACAAGTTACAACACAATTAAATTAGCACAACACAATGGAAACAAGTCACAACACAACGGAAACAATCCACAACAAAATGGATACAAGTCACAACACAACGGAAACAAGTCACAACACAACGGATACAAGCCACATCAAAACGGATACAAGTCACAACACAACGGAGACAAGTCACAACACAACAGATACAAGTCACAACACAACAAAATTAGCACAACAGAAACAAGCCACAATACAAAGAAATGAACACAACACCACGAAAACAAGTCGCAACACAATTAAATTAGCACAACACAATGGAAACAAGCCACAGACAACGGAAACAAGCCACAACTAGGGTTGGGAATCGAAAATCGATTCCGATTCCAGAATCGGATACTGTCAGGAATCGGATACTTGTCAAATTACAATTTCGATTCCGCCTATCGATTCCTATGCATTTTTTTTTCTTCATCTGTGAGGACTGGACCTAGCGATCTGCCAGGACCTTGCTCCAAAGTTTGGTTACATTTGTGATCAGAAGCCAAAAAATCTAAGTATAATATCTGTGATAGCTAAACATGTTGCAAGAGAGGTGTCACCACCAACATAACAAAGCACTTTAATTTAATAGATTGTTAAAGATCGCGAACACGATTCAAACACCAACGTGATTCTATTCCTAAATGACAATGATTCGTCTGTTTCATTCCTCAACCATGTGCGATCAATGTTGTGATCACTTGGTTTGTCTGTGCAGAGTATGATCACACCAGTGTGATTTGAACATTTAAATCTGCGTTCACGCTGCCATTGACCTAAATAGAGCAGCTGTCTGTCATGAATGAAACAGCTTCACAGTCTTTTCAGCCACACAGTATCATTGTTTCTGTTACAAACATTCAAATCACAGAAGTACTGGGATGAAAGTTAATAGTTCAGATATAAACTGTGTATACGATGTTGAAAAAACCAGCATATGCTGGTTAGGTATGTTTTGATGCTGGTTTATGCTGGTCCTTTGCTGGTTTATGCTGGTCGGACCAGTTTAGGACCAGCACATGACCAGCTAAGGACCAGCATAAACCAGCAAAAGACCAGGATAAACCAGCTCAAACCCCCGGACAGCACATGTACGTCTGGCCGACGTCGGCCCAAGAGTGAAACGTCGGCCTCATTTACATTTGGTTAAGCAAGTTTTCTCTTTGGTGCTGTATTTCAGATCAAGAAGACTATGGAGGATGGAACATTTGTAGCCTTCTGCCACTTTCTTGCTGATGTTTTTTTTCTGTGATGAGTCAGTTTAGTTTTACTTTTGCAAAGAAATTAAGTCATTCTACCCCAGGTAATACTATGTGTGATACAAATTCTAACTTAATAAACAATCAAAAAACCACCATAACCATATTAATAACCTGACCCAACAGGCTGTCAGTGGGGTTCAAAACCTCATTGTGAACATTGAAACAATGGCAGTGAGACCCAAACCAGGAGGAAGACTCCAGCAACTTGTAACAGACATGCAGCAGCAAGGAATGGCACACACAGAATGAAGTACCATTCTACAAGTTTCAGGTAGTTATCCCGTTTTTTTTATGTAATTTATGCTTATAATAAAACAATAAGTGTTGTTGTTTGATTACATAATCAGTGTAAATTAATATAATTTCAGGATGTCCCACTTTCGTATTGTGAAGCCACAGTGCTGGCAGAAAATGAGAGCATCTACATCAAATCTCCACAACTGCATCAGGGAGTAAAAGATACTGTGAATTCCACCATTAAGCACCTTCAAAACAGATTTGGTAGCCTTTTAGGTTATAAGATTTTCTTTATTGGACATTCTGCAGTAT